TCTTTCGTACGATGCAAAAAGCTTCAAGTAACAAACACAGTGACGAAATATTATCATTTATCTTATCTTAGTTTTTTAAAAAGTATCGCAATTTTTTATTTGCTTTTTTGTTTTCTTTGTTGCTTTATTAAAATAACTAAAAGTGGAGTTGTCTCGTTGTTGCAGCAATCGCTTCAGTTACAAAATATAGGCATCTGATATCTTCTAGGCCTAATTCTTAATTTAAAACAAGATGTAGAATCTCCAGAAAAAGGTTTTCTTAGTTTTCTACGTGTGACAATCTGAATTAGTTTTCCACGTTTGATGGTCTCGCGATATGCGATATCGATATGCTCGGATCGAGAGGTATAACACACAGATATCCTGACGACTGCATTCGTACGAATCGTAGAACGATCGATATGATAGATTTTCTTTAAAAAGAAAGAAAAAAGTACAAGGTATAAATATTGCAAATCTATTTATTTAACATTTCAGTTACAAAATCTTCTAAAATACAGAAAAATATAACATTAAATATAATGTAAAGAGGAAGATTAGTTGTACAAGACAGCGATAGCGCAAATATTTCATTATTCTTACGAAGCTGCCCTCAATTTACATTTTTTTAAAATACAAGATTAAAGCAATTTGTTTCGTGCTGTTCAAATAAATGACAAGGATAAATTCAGATTATAAGTATTTCGTTTGTTCTACACTTTGAAATATCGCTCTGTTTTCAAAATCTAAATCATTGAATTCAATTGAAATTTAAATCGTAGCGTTTCAACATTTTGCAAGTAGTATTTGGAATATTTCTCTCTCTCTCTCTCTCTCTCTCTCTCTCTAAATTTTTGCCAACTCTAACATTAGACTCTGTAAAAATCGTGGCAAAGCGTGGCATGTCTATCCATTGAATACTTTGCAAGAATAAGTCAGGTCAAGGGCAATCCTCGTGTGCTCTCTAAGCTCGTAATGCTCACCGAGTGCGTAACATCCGAATAGTTACGATGGTAGTAGTAGTCGTAGTCGTAGTCGTAGTCGTAGTCGTAGTCGTAGTGGATTCAGATTAAACGCGTAATGTATTCGCTCGGCGAGAGATGGAACGCGTTGCCGCGCGTCGTCGTTGATTATGTCAACATTGTTGTTGTCGTCGTCGTCGTCGTCGTGTTCATCATGCGCGCGCGAGTCGCGTAAAAATCGTAAAGCATCCGCTGGCTGGTTGTAAATGATTACGCGACCAAGAGCACCTCGTGGTCAGAGATCGTGCGTCCGCGAACCGCGATTCACTCCAATAGGCTATACGTACAGCCTAAGGTTACGTGCTTGGCCGTCGGTTTTGTGTGTGTGTGTGTGTGTGTGTGTGTGTGGTGTGTGTGGAGAAGTGGCCTAATTCGTTTAACTTAACGACATTAGGAAGTCGGGTGCGCGCTCTCTCGTTCTCTTTCCCTCTCTCGCTCTCCTTCCGCTCTCCCACCTCTCTCCGTCTGTTTGTCTGGCTGTGTGAGTCTTCCTTTCTGAAATCGTAATATAGTCGCATAGTTCCGACCGGAGCCTGTTCGCGACAAGATCGTCTTCTCGCGTCTCGGTCGCGTGCGCGCGCGCGCGCGCAAAAATTCAACCCCTTGCGAATCATCGAATCGTGATTCCAACGTTTACGCGAGTTGGCCTCGATTCTTTCTTCGCTTGGTGAAATCGAAACGCGGATTTCACGACGTGTGTGATAAACGTGTGATAAACGAGCGAGAAACGAGCGAGAAATGATCGACGACTCGAGTTCGATTCAGCCGAGAATAAATAAACGTTTCGACGGCGGTGGGGGGGAACAATAACCTGTTCTCGGTACGCGATCGACAACAACTCGTACTCGGTCTCCAGGGCGTTACGAGTTTGTACGAGGCTCTCGCGATGCGAGCGTCGATTACGAGCCACAACGAAATTAAATAGATGTAATATCTTTTGTTTATATCTTTGAGAGATAGCTTAGCAAAATTTGCCAAACGCGCGTCGAACGTGTCGGCTAATATCGGCTTTGTTGTCGATCATACTCGATCCACGTACATATTATTTCGCGAACGTGTACTCTGCCACAAATAAATCGAATACTTGCTCACTTTGAACAAAATTATCCTAACGATATCGATGCAATTGTTGTACTTTAATGTAATTACATTCGTTTGATTTGCAACAAAAATTAATTG